GTAAAAACTGCACTTGAATACAGTACTTGAATTCCAGCACTGCTCTATACAGACCTGAGAAGTATCTGTTGGTGTTTTTTGGCTCCGTGTTGAAACTGAAAGTGAAGTCTTTCAGTGATATACGTTTTTGTCCCAAAACAGTACAGAGCCAAACATCACCTGCTTGAGAAACTGTGCAACCATATAAACCCATAATACTGTCAGCGGCAGCAGATGTAGAATATCATAATTTTAATCCTATAGGAGGCAGTAACAACCCATGAAATAGCAGTTAACCAACTGACAGCGTGAAATCGATCACCCCACAATTGACAATATTAGATCCAATCTATGTTGGAGTAGACTTCATTGTTGAGGCCTCCATTACATTGTTTCCTCTGTACTTTGGTTATTCTCACACCTTTCCAAAGAGCAGAGGTGACTAAAAAGAAGGAGGGCCTGTGTTGTGCAGAATGCTTTTACTAGATAGCCAGTGCAAGTGTATGAGTCTCATCGATGTCCATTACACATCAGTAAAATTCATTCATTTAAAGAACTGTGCAGTACTGTCCTGTGACAGATGCGTGTGTGGTAATCAGATGACCAGCGCGATGGATCCGACTTGTCCACTCCGAGAGGTATGGCAAGTGATCACGTCACGTGTCTCCTTGCGAGGTCCAGCTAGTACAGCGTGCGCCAGCACGCAGTCAGTTCAGTGTATACCTGTTCCAGTTCGAGACTGTTATCTATCGCCCACCCTGAGCGCGATGAAAGAGGGAGCGGAGCGATTGTCAGGTTTTTTGTCATAACGCCTTGGAACGCTTATTTTACGAACTGAGCGTTGTTTGCATACGTTATCCACTAAGTGAACCATGTTGATGTTATGTCCGACCCAATATACTACGAGTACGTAAAGGACTGCTGCATCTTCCCAGTCTGGCTCCAAGCTAGAAATCTTGCGTGTGGCCCAAGTGGATGAGGAGAAGTAGACCTTAACATCGGAGAGTTTCCTTGAACTCCCACCTAGCTGAACAAAGGGGCAACCGCACTCTCTGTTGATCTCTGGCGATGCTCGACTTATTTGACACAAAGGTGAAGAGCCAAGTGAAGCAAAAGCGTTTATTTGAAGCTATTCATCCAAATCATCCGTCCTGGGCTTCCAAAGCGCCCAGGGCAGGAGGCCACCGACAAGACCGATTGACGGTGGAAGTCCTTCCAGCCAGAAGCAAAGGCAGAGCCCGGCGGGCGGAGGAGAGGAAGGGCGCGTCCGCTCCTCACTGTAACCATTTCCACAGAGCGGGCTACGGACCTTAGGACAAATAGTCTCCGGCGATAGATATATCGCCAAGTCGACCAAAGTATAAACCTGTGATGGTGGGCGGAGGTCCAGAGCAGAGCTCCACGTGTCTTCTTCAGGCTTTTGAGAGCTTCACTTGACGCCTGAGCCACGATGGAGACTGTGCCGACTGGAGAGAATTCAAGACACAAAATGAAAGGCCACCGCTTGGGAAAACCCGTCATTGGATATGTGAGGGTGTGAGCACTGCATCCCGCGACTGAGATCAGAGGGACGGAGAGAGTAGATAGACAGTTAGAGTGAGTGAATTTAGTTTTGTGGTTATTCTTTCTTCTGGACAGTTTATACCATATATGTGTCAATTCAGTTTGCAGGGAACAAGACAGAGGATGGAGTGCACAAGACCGTAGGGACGTAAGAGAGTCAAAGTTCAAAATCGATTTCTGGGTGAGATGAGGACGGAGGAATGGTATCTTTGTGTTCTTCTGTTCGTCATTCGTGATTCATTTGTAGCAGGCTGTCTAGTCCTGCATGTCGCAGTGTTTCAAAAACATCCTTCAGTGTTAATACTGGCAAAAACTTTCTCCCAGAAGCACCCTGAGGTTGCCAATGGTGCTAGCACTGTTGCAAAGTGGCTTACTCCTAACCTAGAATTGCTTTACTGACTGATCCCAACCAGTGGAGCTTGATGGATTTCGCTTCCTCAACTCTTTCATAACAGATGCACAGTTTTATCATGGATCTCGCACACTTCTAACGGACTATTAAAATCAGCAGTATTGATGTGACTCACAACTTTGGGACTGTGTCAGTGTTTCATCGCTTAGTATAGGTCTTTTGGTTTGTGTTTGTCAGTCCTATCCTCTTCGATGGACCACCATTTTGCTTTCAGACACTTATGTAACCTTGTGTGGAGCTTTCATAATTTCCCTAGGTTCAAACTTTCACTTAACCTACCTATCAGAAGTGGTTCACGTATCAATGCGAGTTGCGGCCAACACATTTGAATACGCAAATATATTAATGGATGTGGAAAAATGCTTTTTTTATTTTAGGATATTTTGGTATATCATTTAAATATATCATGCATGAGACTTCATAATATACTAGCTGTGTGCTTATGTTTATTGATAATCCACTCAATAATTTATTTTGTATTCTTTTATTAAAAATTGGATGTGAAAGAGTATCCTTTAGAGAAATTATTATAAAGCAGCCTTTCTATAGTTGGTTACGCAAAAATACATTTTAAAGATTAATAAATACAACTACGATCATCTAAGTTACCTTGGTATACGACTGTTTTTTTATAAGTAGCAGACCATTTTTTGAGAGCATCCTTATTTATTAAGACTTACTTAAACATGGGTAATTACGTGAAGGGAATCAAAGTATACTATGCTGAGTTTTGTACTATAGCGCGTAGTCAAAGTCAGAATTTTCTTGTTGGATTATCAACGAGTCACAGATAAGTGTCTCTCCACTACAAGAGATTAAAGAGAGAGTTTTTGAGTACGGGCGCGGCTGCAATGAGAGTTTATGTGGATACACCTTGTGGGTTAACACGTTCGTGATTATGGATAATTCACCTTTTGGCAGTTATATCAGTTGACACTTTTCTTGGATAATGGAAAATCCTGACACTAGGAGTGTATTGATAAACTGTATAGACATTTTTAATCTTAACATAACTTCTAATTATATATATGCATAAGTGATTAATCCATGTTGTGATATTCAGTAGCAGGCTGTTTTTGATCCATTAAATTGAATTATTTTATTTAAAAAGGTACCCTTTTGCCTACCATTATGCGGTTTAACTTAAACATAAACATTTGTTACTCTTTCTAACGTTGAATTTGGTTCTTAGAAAAGCGTAACTTTGTTCAGAGTGTCAATCAATTCTAACTAACAAGTTTAACATATAAACAACACTCCTCCAAATACTACTTTTTTACAGGGAATTAGATAAAATAACAGCTTACATTTTCGTTCCAGTAACCATTATGAGCATTTCTCATTATTTTTCTCACATTCTTATTAAGTTTTATGAAATTGTGTCTAAAGTCTACATTAAAGATAATTAAATATAAACTTATTATGTGTTTTATGTATTTATTTTAATTATTATTTAATTAATTATTCCATGGTTTATTAAGAAAGGACGGCAAGATTTAAAGCCATGTAAGGAAATGTGGCGCCATCAAAGCGGTGAGACTGGTAAACACTTGCATCACAAATAAGCCAGCCCCGGAATAATATCGTTTGGGAGAATTGAGCTTCTGTCTGTTAAATCACTTGTTAAAAGAGGAGGACAAGAGTTGGACGCTTCCAAGACTCACTACAAGTCGACAATTGGCGAAAACGGGACCGGTAGAAGCCGACGGTCCCGGTAAAACACAACCCGGCTATTGAGCGGCCATGTTCGGAAATCTGAAGAGAAGCCTTGTGTCCCTGTACCTCCGTGGCTCTTGCCGCGGGGGAGATCGAGCTTTATCTTATCTGGGAAACTTACGCATCCTCCTTCAGGGAAAAAGCCTTGAACCCGGCCGGTGAAGGACGGTAAAAAAGCCGGCAGAGAGAGACGAGGGAGAGGAGAGGGAAGGAAGAGGGAAGTAGAGGAGTAGGCAGCTGATACCACCCCCTGTTTTTGGTCGCTTCTGCTGCCTGCCTGGCGCCCCGTTGTGCTGCTGAACCCGCCAAGAAGCACCGGAAGGGTAAAAACCGGTAACTTTAGGGACAACACCTTCGTGAAACCGCCGGGGGAGTGTGGTGTGTTGTGTGGTGTGTGGTTGTGTTT